CAAAGAAGGAAAAAATATAAGATTTGGTAAGCATATTTTCTGCTTTGTTTTTGGACCCCGAAACACATGAAATAGAAGACATTAATTAGCAATGATCTTTTTTATTTTCCAAAAGAGTTTTATTTTCCAAAAGAGTTTATTTTTTATGTTATGTGAAAGGTTGTAACTGCAAAACTTTATTTCTGTATCTTTAATATGACTGTAAACATTTAAACTACCTTAAAATAATGAGAATTGCGAAAAATGGCAACTTATTATACAAGAATTTTTCTTTGTATACATGAAATTGTATATTGCAGTATTTATGTAATTAAGTAACTAATTAAATTAATCTGTAAATTTATTGGAAGGTGTGTAAGCTCTCTAGGAAAGCTTTTCTTTGATATTAAGTTAAATGTATATCACACATGCATAGATTTTGAACTAAAGAGCATATGAGTTCTAGTGTGCCTAGCATGCTATTCAATCAGGAGTTGCCACAGGACTAGAAACTGCCTATAAAATAACATTAACACATTGTTGTTTCACACATGTTTTAAGTTCGAGAAATAAAAGTATTACAATAAACTTTTATGCAAATATAAATGTGTAAGTAGTATTTAAGTACGTGGAAATGCATTTATGCACCATATTAAATTATTTTCACTGCCAGAAAAACTGAAAAAGTCCTGCACCACAAACGAAGTCTTTTTATCGAAAACATTTCAAATATTTAGGAACTATTGCAATAAAAGCTTCGGCTCTATTATGTTGAGTTTTTTTAAATTCTCTACCAAGAATCTTAAGTCATTGAAACCTTTGCACTGAGCTATTAAATCAGAGTGGAGAGATTTTTAGATTCTATGTTAATTAACTCAGCATTTTTATTATTTTGGCTTCACTATTATTTTCGTCAACTCTCACCAGAGTGCAAATTGTTTATAACATAGAATTCTTGAGTTTGTGATAGTGCATTGACAGCCTTGCTGACCATGACTCTGTTATGTCTTCCTACTCGAAATGATTTGCTAGGTTTAGCTTCGGAAATCCGTATTTGCTTTACGAATATTTAGGGCAGAACTAAGGCTTATTTAGGTTCATGCTGATTTGTATTTCAAATTTTAATTTGGTTGGGACGTTTGTTAGAATCACGGCAAATAATGGATACCGTATTTCTGTTGTGTTCTCAGTTTCGTGTAGCCATCTAGTTGATGTGCTAATAAATAGGTTTATTTTGAGCTTCACTTTGAGTTTGGGGTTACTAAAGTCTGGAAATATGATGGGAAGAAAAGTCGTCTGATTATCTCTAGAGTTCTGATAGTCTGGCATCTTAAAATGCGTAAAGCCGTATAAAGCTTCCAACAATACTTGTCTAGAGTATTTCAGATATCATTTGCTTCAAGATATTTCATCATTCTAAAATTTACTAAAATTAATGCTTTTATATTTTTAAAACATAAAATTCTTTACTTTGATGGTAAAAGATTTAAAAATACCTATATTTTTTTCTATGAGCAATCGTCTAATAATCTAAAGAAAGTACTCTTTCGAATTATTTTAAAACTTTCGTTGCATCTTTCTTGGAGACTGATCTCTATTTTTGGCATATTTTAAAAGTAAATTAAGCTGAAAGAAAAATCCGAAGGACAAATATTTGAGTTAAAAAGTGCTTACCAAGTAATAGAAGAACAAAGCATTTTCTGCCAAACTTTTTTGGTCAACAGAATTCATCGTTTATTCAATCCCACCTGTTGATCAAATATTAATACAGGGTGCAAATGTTTTAAATCATATAATTTGGATAATTTTTAAGATCAGGAAATGAGATCTTAAAGAGCATATTATTTTGAATTATCTGTAATAATTTGAGTAAAAACTAGCTATTTGAACAATTTTTTTGTTAGAGAATTAATACAAAAATTTATATTTCGTATATATTAAGAAAACGATGAGATGGAATCAAAACCGTAAAAACTCTTAAACTTATTTCAGAAGTCAAACAACAAAAATCAGAGTTGTATTTTCAAATTTTCACAGGACTAGTTTTGATGGTTTTACCAAACCACCATCCTCAGCTGCAAAAGCATAAATAAACGAGATAGGATATAATGATTAGATAAGAAAGTCTGGACAGAAAATAAACTAGTGGCGCCATCTGTTTATGGAACCAGAACTAAAACATAATTTCTTTAAAGGCCAAAGGCAAAGATGGATTGAAATTCGGATCATTAACTAGAACAGAAAGATTTTTTTGAATGTGAAATGCCTCTAGAAAATCCAGTTCGCCAATGGAAGATGTTTTTTGAATAATTTTGGCAGCAGTTAATTTACATTCGCCAAACTAAGAGAGCCTTAAAATTTCGCGTCAAGGAGCATAAGGCATATGTTAGAAAAAAAGGAAACGCAGAAGTCATCTGTTGCCCAACATTGTCGGTCCGACAATCACACTTTCAATTTTTCTGCTACCAAAATTATTCAAAAAACATCTTCCATTAGAAAATTGGATTTTCTAGAGGCATTTCACATTCAAAAAAATCTTTCTGTTCTAGTTAACGATCCTAATTCCTATCCATCTTTGCCTTTGGCCTTTAAAGAAATTATATTTTAGTTCTGGTTTCATCAACAGATTCGCCACTAGCTTATTTTCTGTCCAGGCTATCTTATCTTATCTAATCATTATATCCTATCCCTTTTGCAGTTGAGGATGGTGGTTCGGTAAAACCATCGAAACTAGTCCTGTGAAAATTTGAAAATATAAGGCTGATTTTTGTTGTTTGACTTCTAAATTAGTATTTGTTCGGCGTGTTATTGTGTCTCTTAAACTTAGTTTATATTGTTAAACACTCAGTTTGAAATTTCGCTGTATGGTATAGATCTGTTGTGCATAAGGTTTTTGCTTTTAAAAGAAAGAGTAAATTAGTCCAAATATAATTGAGCTTCAAAAAGCCAAAATTGAAGAAACACATTCCTCAAAAAACAAGCATTAAAAATTAGACTCTGCATCAGTATCGATTTCGAACAGTATGTTTCAATATTCACTTCGACTTGCCTTCAGATCTCTAGTTCCGATACCATTTTGCCAAAAATTTCACTGAAGTTCAAGCAACTGAAATTTTAGCATATGCTCACAATATGGCAATTAAGTAATCGAATTGTATTAAAAAATAGAGATGTTGCAGAGTTTACATTAATGTCATTTCATGTCTTAATACAAATAAGGCGGGTAATTAAAGAAAAGGCTTGTAGAGATTTTTTTTCTAACATGGCTGAAAGAGTAAAATGTCGCATTCCTTTTATGTCTTCCATGTCAGAAAAAACTTACCTTTGAAAGACACTTTAGTTTTTGGGAAGTGAAAATAATCGCAAGAAAATGCGGCGAAATTAAAATATAGTTTCGAAAACTCTTGTAAGACATAAATAAAGAAAAGTCAGTCTTATCTCTTAGATAATACTGTACTTTTATGAACCTTACTTTTTACTTTTCAATGGCTCTCGCACTGTATTCGAAAGCTTGGCTTAATTCATTATACACATTTTTACCGCATATTAATGTTTTATATACCTGTTCCTATGAAAAACGAATTCGGACTGATCTAAGTTTTATCATATGCTATTTCATTTCATTTCTAAATAATAATTAGAAGTCATAACTAATACCAATGAAGTAACTTTTATAATGCCTACAACAGAATTTAAATTCATTAAATGTCCGAAAATTAAAATCCAGTTACCGCCTTCAAAACATAAAATTTGAAAGTTTTGTCATTGTCTTAAATAATAGATTAACAAGCTAACTGAATAAGCTAATTTCTTTTAATAATAATTTTTAAGGACAGGAGTTACTTACAAATCTACGTATTATAGTTTTAATAAAATTAATTTAATTGAAAATTTTTATTTAATCAAAATTACTAAGAATAACAATTTTAGCTTTCTCATTTCAAAACAAAATAATATTCATAAGAATTTTTGCATCTCTTTTGATGAGAAAGTTTCGTTCAAAGCATGACAAAATGAAGAAAATGCTAATTGTTTGCTACATGGAAGAAAGAAGTGCCTGTAATTAATATGCCAGGATTAGTACACAGTGTAAATTAATTATGAATTATAAACTAAAGTTAGACCACATTTAATAAGATTTTGAATTTTCTATGCCATATTGAGTGTTAACGGATTGCATATATAAATATTTCCTACCCAGTTATGTTGACAGGTAAAATGGTAAGAAGAGTATTACAAATCGTAAGTAATTGGTATTATAAAATATTCGGCACAAAATGAAAACGTTCTGATTTCTTGATTAAAATTTGTTTTTGTATACATTAATTTCCTAACGAAATCTGTTTTATGGAAACAAAACTTTTGAACATTTAATATTACACAGTTCCATAAATTAAATATAATTTTATGTAAATACTTAATGTTATCAGAAAAGGGTCTTGTTGCATTATTTTGCATGCATTCAAAGAGGAAAATGTTTTCAATGGAACAAAAATTGACAGTATTTTCGATTAAGTATATTTTTCGGATACACTATCCTTCAATAGTTTAGTAAATCACATCCGGAACTTTTGAATTATTACTGTACTTTTCTGGAAATAAACTCATAAAATGGAAGGTAAGAAAACTAAATCGTTTTCGTCAGTTTTCTTTTTTTTTTTTTCTTTTTCTTTGTGAATAAATATTCGTCCAGTTTTTCAGTTCAGCAGTATTATCATTGAATGAAACAGAACAAATTATTTATTTCTGCTTAAATATTTAATTATAATTAAAAAAACATTTCTGCTTAAATATTTAATTATAATTAAATGCTTAAATATTTAATTCTGCTTAAATATTTATATTATATATTTTCTAAAATTTATAACCATGCATGACTCGAAAATAGTACTTCTTTTCATATTTTTCTTGGTTATTATGAACAAGCACAATTGAGAATATATAAGCAAAGTGTAAAATATACACACAGAAGATCTTTTCTATCATTTGTTTTATTTGCGTCCAGCTCTTTGGTCGAGAAAGAATGACTTCTATCATTTGTTTTATTTGCGTCCAGCTCTTTGGTCGAGAAAGAATGACTATGGTTCCCTCCTTTCAACGTGTCTTAATAATGTGCAGAGACGAGCAACTTTTCCCCTGGGTAAAGAGAAAGCGAAAGATCGGTAAAGAGAACACCAAAAAAAGACTAAGTCCTTATTTTCCATCCCCCTATATGAGTCAAACATACCCTGACCCCACCTGCGTGAACATACGCATGCTGTCTCGGTCCCCTAATTTGCCCCGTATGTAGCATCTTACCTCGTGTTTTCTTCGGAGCTTCCCCCCAATCCCCATTTTCTTTATATTTTATTCCTTTTTCTCCGTCACTTTTCTAAAAGTAGGTCATGTCTGGATGTGAAAAATGTACCTCAGACTGCCTTATTTAGTCTGAGTGAGTTTCTCAGTTTTCTGCATTCGAGTTAAAATACTAATATTACATAAATAAAGAATATTTAGTAATGTAATCAAGCTATGTATAAGCATTAAGAATATATTCCAAATATATTATTTGCAGATAAGCTTTGCGCTTTGCATAATTAGCAGAACACCTCGTTCACAAACGAGAATTGACTGCATTATTCACAAACGAGAATTGACTGCATTATATCTCTCATTGACTGCATAATTAGCAGTCAATGAGAGAAAATCTGTATGTTACATCTTCTCGTAGGAAGGTCAGTATAGTGCAGATGAGATCGGATAAATGAGTCACTGCTGATTATTAGAATACATACTAGATATTTTCATATTATAGCTCTATATAGATTTGCTAATAATTTAAGGAATAAGACATAAAAATCTCCGTTGTATCATATTCTCGTGGTTGTTATCTTCTTCTGAAAACAAGCTCCGTGTTTTTCATACACTTTCTTAAATAATATATTTGAAAGAGAACTATATGATTAAATAAATTAATTTTGAAATTTGAACTGCAGCAGAGCAGTTGACGAATGGCCACTTTCGAAATGTATAATGTCACAGAGAGCAAAAATTGATTTTAATGCTAGAATGTAATCAATTTCTATAAAAATAATTACAAACTGCAGAATTTGGCATGCAACATGGCAAACTGCAGAACTTGGGTAGTAGCATTACAATGAATGTTCTACAATTTATATTTTAGTAGCACAGTAGTTTACTTTACTCGTGTCTATCACTTATACGCCTATCACTAGATAATAAATCTTAGGATACGATTATATTACTTAATAATAAAGATGTTTTACTTTTCCGAAGAAGCTGAAGATTCTGCGAATTATTGATTACATCAACAACAGTTAACAACTACAGATAGTAACAAAAAGTATGAAAAAATTCCTATTTCTAGAAATTTAAAGTTTAATTTTTCGTAATTCTGGAGGATTTTCAGTTTTCGCTATCTCGAAATTAGGACTTTTCAGAAATGGCTTAGTTTCTTCATAAAATAATGAAATATCATAACAAATAATATTCCTTTTTATTCTGTCGTAATATCAAAATGAGATAAAAGTAGTTTCGAAAGAGGGGAAAATTTTATACGCCTATTCTGAAAGGAATAGAATGGAAATATTCAAAAAACAAAATTACATAGGAAAGTTTGGCCTGTTTCTGTGCTTAACTATGCACATAAGAGAAGGATATATTGTTCATTTTCTCAAAATTCTCTAAGACGAAAAGTATGTCTAGTAAATGGCTTAGTAATTGTTTATATGCAAAACTTAAGTATATAGCACGAAACTCTTTTGATTTGTTAACGCTTATTAATTACATCTTAGGAATGTTAAAAATTACACATATTCTGAGCTGGTAATAAAACTGATAGAAATTTGTAGCAATAAATTTGAATGAATGTGCCAACAGTGGACAAAATCCTGCTCAGAAACAGAAGAAATAAAATAAGAAAAAAAAAAAACATCAAACTTACCCTGACCTCAACCTGAATTATACCAAATTTTAGTATTTATAATCTTTTAACACTTTTTAAAGCTTGGAATTTTCTTGCAATGTACTTGAAATTCCCGCAGTTTAATAGCGAAGTTAAGATTTAATTCAAGAGTTAACTTGAAGTTTTGAACTTAAGTTATTTCCAAGGTTACCTTAAGGTCAGCAGTTTTAACAAGCACATAAACTATGCCATATATTTACTTTTAAATGGGGTATAAAGTTCAACAAAATTAAGACAAATCTTTAAAATCATATTTAAAACTTATTAGAACTTTAAATAAACATGAAAAACCTTTCTCAGTTGCACTGATTTAATTGTACTATAATGTAACTTTGTTTGGACATACTTGCTCATAGAAGATTTAAATTAAAATCGTAACACTACTGAAAATGGGAAATTTTAAATCAAAATTTGTCAAAGAGAATTTTAAGGGAATTTAATTTAGTCATTTTTATACTACATAATGAAATTTTGTTAAATATATTTCACATTCAGAAACCATGTGATTTTATTTTTCCAACCCATTTTGGGAAAACGAGTCCTTTATTCTGTCCCTACGCACAGACGTCAAGCAAAAACATCTTTAAATTACATTCGATAGCGGTCAAAATGGATATTTTCGTTGAAATATGACACCGGAAAATTTTCGCGATTACAATACTTCTTTTACTTCGTGCAAGGAAGTAAAAATCAAACGATGTTTGGTAACAGCTAAAATTCAGCCAATTACTTTAGACATTCTAAAGCATTCTTCATTTGTAAGATCTATTCGAAGCTGTTATGATCAAAATTGTACAGCTATTTAATAAATGGTTAAAACAATGCTATGATAGAATTTTAATAATAAATGCAAATTATTTGATCGAATTTGAATGTTTCTTGTAAAATATTGCATTCTCATTACGAATTATGTAAAAATTTTCAAAGAAATTGGATTTTTCGAAGAAAAAATAAATTTCAAGAGATGACCGAAGCAAGTAGAGAAACCAAGTTACAAAACCGCATATGAACTGAACGTTTTCCACAAAAAAGGAGAATGTTCCATTCGCAAATATATCTAATACGATAATTAATAATGCAGCTAATTTAATTCAAATAAATTTGTTTCAAGAATCTTAAACTGATTATCATCAGAAAAATAATTACATAATAGAATTTCGCAGTGATAAAAGCATGGAAAAATGCAAGCTCTTAGCATTTATTGTATAAGAGGTAAAATTTCTGTAAAATCAATATAATACACATTTATACAGCGCAACAGCACGAACATTTATAAAAAGTATTAAATGAGGTGATCAAAATTAAAAATTACCTAATTAGTGAACAAAACTTTTGTAGAAAATTACTGTATTAAAATTAATCATTATATAAATATTTCCTCATATGTATTTTCATTTCCTGTAATTAAATTTTCAAATAATTAAGCACTTTATACGATGTTGTGTATTTTTTTATATTTTGAAAACATTTTCCAATAAAATTTACTGTGAAAATGCCTAAGCTCATCAGTTGAAAAATACACGAATTTTTAGCTAAACCCACAGGATTTTTATAAATCATCAATCTGATTTCGAAGTTCAATAATTTCCAAGTTATGGATCACACTTTTCTTATGTATATTTAATAAGATTTTTTTTCTTCCTCCTTTCTGCATGCCTTCGTGGAGTAACGGTTAGCATACTCGGCGAAGGCATTGTTCATTTTTTACATCTTCTCCTTCAAAATAACCTAATGGCTTTACGCATTTAATAACAAAAAATATCTTGATTATTTCAATTCACCTCTCCCATGAATACTTTCTTGTGCACATCGTGTAGCAATACGAGTTCCGTTTTCCAAAATGGCAAATAAATAGCAGATAGTATTTGTTTTAAAATAGCGGTTCCCAATCTTTTTTGCGTATCCCTTAATGAAACTTATTTACTTCGCTTATCCCTTAATGAGACAGACTGTAATTATAAAGTACCCCTATCCTCTTCCCTAACATCCTATAACCTTTCACTTTTGTCACTTTTGTCAGGCGCTTTGAAAACAGTTATGGAATTATTCGGTAATCCTAACCTTTATTAATCTAGTTTATTTCGAAAAGCTATTGGATATTGCAGGTCCTTGAAAGCATTCATCAATGTGAATTTTCAACCTCATTTTGAAATGGTTCGTCTCCCAAAACTTGGTTGGCGTAGACGCCAAATCGAAAGTATTTGCCACAATAGCTTCTGCTCTGTGCAAAGATCCGCTTCTTAATTATTTATTCATTTTTAGGTAAGCAACACTTTACAATTCGCAACTTTAAAGTAACAGGAATTAAAAACAAAGCTTGCCATTCAAACTGGTTTGTATATCACAATTTAATGAAAAAAAAAACTCTGTCCTGAACTTCATTATTTATGATACGATATTTATGACTAAACAAGGAAGAGAATAGCTTGATGTGATGCATGTTGAATCGAGTAATATAACAATAATGTTCAAATGAATTTTCGAATAGTAACATTTACATCGGAATAAGTCAGATTGATTTTCTTTCTACTCAATGTCAAATTTAAATTTTCTGAATATTTTGATTTTTATCAGCATTTATTATAACACAGAATTATTTTCCGCCATTACTGCCAATTTTTTCCCGTACGCTTAGTAGTAGGCGTACCAAAGGCTGACAACCGCTGTTTTAGAATATGAAAAATATTTACCCAATTGTTCCAGTGCTATGTTTTAAAAGCAGTGCGGTATAGATTTTCAAAGCCACCTGAACATTCTGCAGTGATATCGACAGTTGAATAAGCTCTGGTTGCTTGTAATTAACAGCCCTGAACTCTAAAAACTACAGAAAACAGTACAGAAAGTTGGAATTTTAATCGTAGCTCACGAAAATCAACAAATTATGCAAATACGATATCATGCAGCTAACCATTTTTCAGAGGAACTGATACAATACTGCTTACAAACTTTGCAACTATTTCGGCTATATGTAATCGCAATCTATAAACATTACAAAATGACTACTTTCTGACTAAAATTCAGTTATTAAACCGACGTTTCTTCTTCTTCGTTTCCTTTCCATTTTTTTTTCAGAATGGTAAACAATATAATGACCGCTTCGGGCATGGAAAATTGCTATGCAGTTTTTGAGCAAAGCCCAAATTCACTAAAGCTAAACGACTTCTGTGTCAAC